ATGACTACAAGAGACTCGGCTCTCTCGTTTGTTTATGCATTCGTCATGACAAGACTTCCGAAAGACGCTTTTGATACTGAGTCTTCTTTTGTCGAGGAAATTTTACGAGCAGTTCGGCAAGTGCCTGAAGCTGGGCGTCCATGAGGACTCCACCAACCGCACCAAGGTGGCAGAGCTGCTGCGCTACCACACGTCCAAGTCTGGGGATGAGCAGATCAGCCTGAAGGAGAACCCTAAACCCTAAACCCTAAACCCTAAAGGGATTCTAGTGTTTTGGGGGGCCCTTATTTTGGGATATGTAAGGGGTTATATAAAAGGATAACTTAGGGGAGATAATGATCCCAATATGAAGAATCAAATGCAAAATGAAGTGGAACATGATATGGAAACTGGGAGTATGCGTTGGCTAGATAGGGATTGGGGGTTTCGTAGAATTAGGGGGTGCCATTTTGGTAATGATTAGAGCATTTTGGGGTTTATAATAGGGTCCCCTTACTTTTGGGCAACTAGCAAATCAGCCTGAAGGAGTACGTTGACCGCATGAAGGAGGGTCAGAACGACATCTTCTACATCACAGGCGAGAGCATCGCTGCAGTGTCTTCCTCTCCTTTCCTGGAGACCCTGCGCAAGAAGGGCATCGAGGTGCTCTACATGATCGATCCCATCGATGAGTACTCAGTCCAGCAGCTCAAAGAATTCGACGGCAAAAAGTTGAAGTCGACAACAAAGGTGAGAGGGTTCAACAGTTGGGGTAAAGGAAGGTGGGGTTGAAGATGGTTGAAGGTTAAGGGTGTAGGGTGGGGTATAGGAAATAAGCCCCAACATAGTAGAGTATATGCTCGGAATCCTTCACCTTTTTGAGCCCCCTGAAAGGAAGGTTTGGACATCGAGGACGAGGATGAGAAGAAGAAGCTCGAGGAGATGAAGGCCGAGTTTGAGCCTTTGACCAAGCTGATGAAGGAGGCAGGGTTTAGGGTTTAGGGTTTAGGGTTTAGGTTTAGGGTTTAGGGTGTAGGTTTAGGGTTTAGGGTTTAGGGTTTAGGGTTTAGGGGATGTGTTTTTGTTGCTTGCTGTTCAACGGTAAAGCCAAGCCAAAATGGAACCAGCCAGGCTCAAACAGTTGTTTCGGATTCAAACCCCAGACAACGAGTGGCGCAGGAATCCACCTAAACGAGACAGAGAACAGAACATAAAGTTTTATATCCCTGTGAGATCCTGTGAGGTCTTGGGCGATAAGGTCGAGAAGGTCATCGTCTCTTCCAGGATGGCCGACTCCCCATGCGTGCTGACCACCTCCGAGTACGGTTGGTCCGCCAACATGGAGCGCATCATGAAGGCCCAGGCCCTGCGCGACAACAGCATGACCTCTTACATGGTCTCCAAGAAGACCATGGAGGTGAATCCCAAGCACTCCATCATGGCAGAGCTGAAGAAGAAGGCTGCTGCTGACAAGAGCGACAAAACGGTCAAAGATCTGATCTGGCTCCTCTTCGACACCTCCTTGCTCACCTCGGGCTTCAATCTCGACGAGCCCACGCAGTTTGCTGGCCGCATCCACCGCATGATCAAGCTCGGCCTCAGCATCGATGATGATGACGAGGGCCTGGGTGACGACGACGACCTGCCGCCGCTTGAGGAAGTCGAGGGCGCTGCGGACGAGGCCTCCAAGATGGAGGAGGTCGACTAAGATGTCTGAGCCTCTCAGTAGTTCGTACTGCAGCCGTCGGTACGCTGGTGCATGATCTTGCAACAGTCACCGGGCTGAGCCTACTGTACAGGAGGCAGAGACCGGCAGAAACCTGACGCAGCAGACAGTTTGCGATGGAAAAGTGAGTACTTCGAAGTGGCGTCCCGCTGCATGTTCTGTGGCATGGGCTCTGGTCTGTTCCAGGAACGAGACCATAAGAAGATGCGGTTTTCTGGCAAGATGTTCCACCCCCAACTCCAAAATCAGAAGCCCAAACGCCAAACTCTGAAACCGTGTGGATTTTTATGCCCCATTTGAGGACGTCGGAACAAGCGCTGCTGGTCTCCAGCGATTTGCCATCCGCAGAACCAGAGACCTTCCCGAGACGTGGCTGCATAAAGCTGTCGAACGGTTCGGGCTTTGAGGTTTGACGTGTAGAGCTTGGGCCCAGACCCCTGGGAGGATCTAGAAAGTAGAACCCCCAATTTGGTACCCTATACTACTATTGGGTAATTCCTGGGATCTACTTTCTAGATCCGCCCAGGGGTCTGGGGGGTTGAGCATTTGGAGTTTGGGGCTTGGATAGGCTTTGGAGGTTCTTCAGGACTTTCAGGGAGTTTTCCTTTGGACCCTTAGGGTTTGTACCCTTGGGTTTTGGGTCCCTAAACCATGGAATATGGCCCTCAATAAGGGTATTTGGGACCCATCACTTAGGGGTACAAACATTA